TTACAATGGTATTTAGGATTGAACAGAATTGAAGAGCGAGGGCTTGGCCGTAGATTAGATTGGAGGGCGGCAATTAATGAGATATGGAGAGATTAATTGCAACACATGGGCTGTGAAATATGAAGATTGCCAGTAATTGGCATTTGAAAAAAATCCACGTATCAGGGCCTGGGCTGATGGAAAGGCAAAGCCCACAAATAATTAGAGTTGCGAATAAATATGTTTGAGCGAAATAAGTTGAAAAATAACAGCAGCTTAGACAAGTATTATATAGTATTTGTATGTATGTAAGTACATATATATAACAATGTGTGTACATGACTGTAGAAATTCACACAAATGAAAGTGAAAATGGCAAAATGTGAATAATTAGCTGCGAATACGGCCCAGCAGCAACAGAGCAACCAACAACAATAGCAACAGCGACAGCAACAATAATAATATTAAATGCATACAACGAAGGTAGCGACCGAAAACTTCATATAGGAAAATAATGTACAAAAATTTGCTACAATTGTTGACGCTGTTCGTAAATGATGATGGTGATGGTGATGATGATGATGATGATGGAGAAGGGATTGGGCAGCGGTGTGCAGGGGGCGGGGTGGGTCTTACCCATAATTTGTAGCAACGACATCCAAATGACAATGGCAAGTGCAAGTGTTCGTCGCAGCTAGGTTGAGTTCAACAAACCCGCCAGCGTTACATTTTCTGTAGCATCTTCCATGCCCGACGACGATGGCAGTAATTTTTAACGCAGCTCTAAAAAGAAACACGTAAAGGGGAGGGGGTAAGGGGGCTGCCTATAAGCACGGGGCAGATGGCAGGCATAGTGCAGCGTATGGCAAGTGAAAATGTAGTTACAATTTTATAAACAGCGCGCGGTCACGCTGTGGCTTTCTTTCTACATATACGAGTACCCGTACTCGTAAAAGACGAAGCGCACACGCTTCTACAGCTGTGACTTTGACTGTGTATCTATCTTTGTACTCGTATATCTGTGAGATACTTTTAGCGCTTGTCAAAATATGTACGGTGAAAAGCGTCGAGAGCCCTCAGCATTGGCGGCACTGCTTAAATCACGCCAACCATTTCTTTAATTTCATTTGCCCCGCAATCTTGGCAATCAGGCGCGAAAGTGTGGGAGTGGAAGACAGAGTGTGATCTGAAGCTGAGACTGAGACTGAGACTAAGCCGCCTGCCAAGTGTCAGCTGTTGTCCATGCGACGGCACATGCCGCCAGTCTGATGTTATCAGAGGCACTTAGACGATGGAGACCGACAGGCATCAAATTGCCGACTTTAATTAGTCGTTCGCTGCGGGTGCTATTAACTTGGCTTTGACGCTCGTCAAGCAAGCCAAACGGAAGCCACAATAGTCCCATCACTACCACCAAACAACTCACACGGCTCGCACAACTCACAATTCGAACTTCAGGCGCGTGAATGCGGAAATCTTGATGATGCGTCGTCGTAAGTAATCTGCGCATGCGTATCTCCATCTCCATCACCATCTCCATCTCTTCAGCGCTATCTGTATCTGTATCTGAAGTGCTATTGCGCGACATGAATTGGTTATTTTTATGTGGCGACTTCAAAATTTCAGTTTCATAAGGCACTATAGCCTGCAGCCAGCAACTCGTACATACAGACAGACAGACGGACATTTGAATGTATGTAAATACTGTTGATTTGAATTATTGGTTTAAGCTGCGCGTTAGCTTCAGCTAGCCTTGCCAAATTCATAAATCGTTCGAATTCATGTAGATTCATGCCATTGCAGCTTGGATTGTAGAGCGATAATATTGTTAACTGAACTGAAAATCATTTTATTAAATTGGAATAATTTACTTTCTACATTTATCTGTATTTCATTGCGTTGTAATTAGAGAGCATTTTTGCATCAAGCTGATGCTTAAAATAAATAGTATATTAAGGAAAATCGGCTTTATTTTTTAGAGACATGAAATCGATAATTGCAATCACTTTTCGTGTGTATATTAAGACTTACGCGAAACTTTGATGTTATTTTAATAAATTATAATTCTACTCAACTAATAAGTACTAATATTGATATCTGGATGTTTTTTATTCTGGAAAATATTATCTTTAAGGCTACAGTTTGTTTATTTTGATGGGTTCCTATTAAAAGCCAAGGAATATTTTTGTTATTATTAGAAGTGTGTGAGCCGCCCGTTAGAGCAGAAAACGCTCTGCAATCTTTGATAGTCTTTTGTACTCAAATAGATTCTTCAAGAGTTGATATACTTCTCTTGTTTGCGTCTGGGTTATTAGCTCTTGGCGAAAAGTACTTCCTTCTACTACAGACTATGATTGGACTAAAATCGTCTTACCCACCAGAGCCTGCATTCTCCTTTATTGATAAATTAATAAAGAGACTTAATACTTCTAATAATTTAGAATATATTCCGAGATATAGGGTTTTTCTTTAGAATTAGAACAACACAACAGATTGTTGTCAACCAAACGTAGCCATATCTGATCAAGAAGAGATCCACTTAACAGCAGCTCACATAAATATAACCCACAATACAGTAGCTGGTCAAACTAGTAGGAGTCGTCGAAGACAGACTACCTCTCCAGTTTTATGGAATAAAATACGCAGAGTATTTAAAGTAATTAATATTCTTCTATGCTTTTAATATTGTTAAGGTTTAGAGAATGGGATCTAGCCATATCCATCTGCGAGCCAGTTGGATACTTAACCGATTTCTCTTGGAATTAAGATCCCCTTCAATTAGGTTTACTCGTAAATGCCAGAAGACTGGCCAAAGACTCACTCCAAGACTAGTTCTAATGACCGGCAACAATCTGCGGGCCTTTTGCCTAACTGCGGAAAACGAAAGTTGCATGAGCTTTGGCCATTTTGCTGACAGCGTTTGTGCTTCATTAGTGGGCCAGCCTTAGTGACATACTTATACACGTTTACATGAAAATATTTAGTACATACATATATGTATATTAACAGATGGCCACAATCGTCCATTCATTCATTCGTTCATAGGAGCTGGATGCAGATTCATAAAAAGTGCTAGTACGAGTATATAGGTAGACAGTCAGGGGTGGGACTGCAGACGTCAAAGGGCCGGCAAAACTATTAGGCTTTTAGGTTTTTGTGCGATTGCCTGTAAATGCTGTGAATGCTGCTGGCTTTGGCCAGTTTTTCCACTTGCTGCACACACACACACACACACACACACACACACACACACACAAAGAAGCACCCATGTAAGTATCTGAGTAAAGTCTTGGTAGCATGAACACGCAAATATTACATTAAACTCCTTCACAACTTTTGCTTTTTGTCGTGCCTGAATCGCTCGCTCTGCCTCAAGTGTGTGTAATGGGTGTAAGCATATTTATAGCTCGTCATTACTTTTCCGTATACGAGTTGTAAGTAAACTTTTTAATGCGAAAATTGTTTGGGCATAATTTTTTTGTAGCTGTTGAGATAATTAACTTAGAAATCCAAAAGAAGGCAACAAAGAAAGTGGTTGTATAATCAGAGAGCGAGTGAGGCAGTCAGTCAGTCAGTCAGTCATTCAGTTAGACTGTCGCGTTTTGGGTTTTCCGCATTAAGTGGGCGTTTTACTGGAGGGGTAGTTCGATTAATGAACTGACATTTCATCAAATAGCCGCTTGGACTGCTTTTGGGCCACTTTCTAATTGGGCAGTGGCTTGTGGTCTGCGGTTAGGATGTGGCCCAACTGTGGGTCATTTGTCTGCGACAAGATTCTAGTGGTCAGAAACAAATGAAACCGTTAGGCTTATACACCTTAAGTACCGCTATCAATCATAGGAAGCAGGTAACGCTGCACAATTTATTAGAGCCTCACACGAAACGTATCTGCTCGATCTCAACGATGACGATGAACTCAAGTGCGCGCGCGTGTCTGCGCATGCGTGTTAACAACAGCGATGACGATGACGACGACGGTTACGATGACATTTAGAACAAAGGTCTCTACACTCTAGGCCTGGGCCAGGCAGTGGCTGTGGCTTGGTCTTGGTTTTCGTCTTGTGCTTGTGCTTGGGTTTAGGCTTGGGCGCGGAAGGAAGCTGACAAAACGATCTGATAAGTGTCAAGATTGTATAACCTTAGCCACTGCCACAGCAGCGGTGGCAGCAACAACAACAGCAACATCATCATCATCCGACCCTCCTGCACGTCTCAGTATGACTCCCTATCTGTTATACATAATTAAATTCACACTGCCTTCAAGTCAAAATCTGCTGTTACAGTTGTGCCATTGTTTGAATGCAGCTGAGAAAAAAAAGCAACAACGGCAACAACAACTCACGATGCGGCTGAAATAGAAAAGATTTACCCAGGCCCGAAGCCAAAGACCTGCAAGGTGGCATGGGCATGAGTATGGGCCTGGGCCTGGGCTCAACAGCAGCAGCAGCAGCAACACTAGCAACAAACATTGTGAAAATGAGGAAAACCAGACAGAGTCAGCGCGTAGACAATGACTGGGCGGCGAAGCCAGCTGCGACGTCAGCGCTGTAGCCGAACCGCCAGCTTGGCCAACTTCAATTGCCTAGGCCAAGCTTCAGTCGGGCTTTGAATGCGAGCGCGCGCGCTTCAGACGCGGTCAAATCGGTAACAAATATCACAACAACAGCTATGTATACCACTACTCTGGGCAAATGTTAGCAAGCATTTGGCCACGCACCGCTGCGCACGGAGACGCTTTGCAATAGCAAGCCAAAAAAAAAAAAAAAAACAACATCAACAAAACAAAACAAAAATAAATATATAATTTGAATAATTATTGTGATTACTTTTATTTGTGTAAAATTATGCGCAACAACTAAAATCAAATTTAAAATTTATAGCACCAACAACTCCAACAATTGCTGGAAAGTTTACAAAATCTGCCAAATCTATGAAAAGTGCTGTGCAAATGTTCGAGTGAAAATAGTGACCCCGACCTCCCTCCATCCACACCCTTTGTTTTTTTTTTTGAAATCTTTGTGATGTACTGCAGCAAGGATTGCATTTGCAGCCTTTGCCGCGAACTGCGCGCCTACAAGCTCGCCAAGCCAGCTAAGCTGCCGCCCAAACGCAGCGCCCCCGCTCCGCCCAGCTCCAGTTCCAGCTCCCTGCTGGGACGCATGCTAAATGAGAATTTCATACTGCGCAGACGTGGAGGCGGCAGCAGCAGCGGGGGCGGTGCGGGCAGCGGCATCAGCTCGTTGAAATCATTTCAGCCACAGTCGCTGAGAAATAGCGAAATGTTCCAACAATCGGCAGCATCGACGCCAACTGCACAGCTTTTTCAACGCGGCAACCAAACACCCTCACCCACGCCCATCGAAGAGCTGCCCGACCTGACGCCGGCAACGTGCAAAACGAAGGCCCAGCGAAAGGAAGTGGCAGCCAACAGCAAGCCCAATCACAAGGTGGTGATTTATTTCGGTGACTCCATGGCCCGCGCTCCACAATCTTCGCCACCCCAGAAAGATGCGGCCAAGCTCCACTCGCAGCTGCTGCAAGAGATGTCCCAGAAACTACGGCGCAGTGACAACAACAAAGACAAAGAGACGATCAAGGAGGAGGAACCAAAGCAGCAGCAGCCGCAGTCGACGAAGTCGCCGCAGAGCGATGAAGCCAACGCCGCTGATGATGAACTGCCGCCCTACATTGAGAGCGTGCAGAATGGCGTAATTAATATCAAAATTGAAGGCAATTACCGACGCGCTAGTGCTCTGGTGGAAACGGTGGCAAAGCCAACGCTTGCCGTCGTGGGTCGGCCACCGCTTGAGCTGAAATCCGACGCCAACAGCAACAGCAACAGCAACGGCAACGGCATAGATGATGACGATGAAGATGAAGACGATGACAGCGACCCTGGCCACGATGCAGAGACGGCCAGCCAGTGTGATTCGTGCGATTGGAGTTATGTGCAGGAGTGGCGACGAGCAGCGAAACGGTAATGAAACCAGCTCCCAATACCATTCCCACTGTGAAAGTGGCGGGAAGCTTAAAGAAAATATAGCCAGACAGAACTATGAGTCTATGAACTGCCTCAGCCCAGCAAAGCGTTGAGGGCACTTTTCCATTTGTAATTGATGCAAATAGTTCCTAAGATCAATTCTTCTGATTCTGATTTTGTAATAATAGCTTTTGGTGTTATTTCACGGGAATTCAATTCAATTTAAACCCCCCATTCATTAATCAGATGGCGATAATTGCCAGACATATTTTGTGAGTAACTGTGCCTATCGAAGCCACTTGATACAATCAGCACTTTTTTTAACTTCTTCGCCACCTTCTGCAATGGCGGCAGAAAGTGTGGGATCCAGGGATTCAAAGACAAGTTAGCAAACACATACATATATTGAGGTCAAGCAGATGACTCGGCTGCTGTGTCAAAGGGTCAGTGTACGAAAACCAAAGAGCTTAGATCCATAGCTTAAGGCTGGCAAAAATGTTTTATTGTTACAACTTCTAAAGATTTAATTCTGCATCAGTCTGTAAGTGGGTCGATCATAGTAAATAAAAAACCATAAACACAAACGTTTTGTGTTACACAAAGAATGGGCAGGAGGTAAAAAATATTAACGCGCTCGTAATTAAATCAAAAGCAAAGACTTAAAGCTGGCCGGGAATCTTCTTCTTGGCAGCTCAACATGCAAATGAGCGCTCATAACTGACTGTTAAAGCCGCCAAGCCCATTGTGAGAACTGCGAGTGGAGCAGCAGCCGACTTTCCAACAGGTTGACAAAGTTTTGCACGACAACCAGCTGGATAGGGGTCTTTAATTAACTGCCATACTCGTACTGCCCAACTATCTTGAGCAGATTTGTCGACACGCTGCGAAAGATTAGCGGTAATATGACAGATGTCGCAAGCCCCGACCGTTAGGGACGCTTTGTTTGTTTTGACTTAGACAGCCAGCCAGCGTCTGCGCACCAGGCTACCTTGAATTCTTTGTGAAATCTGCTGAATTTTAATTAGTTGCATAATTTATGACTCAAGAGCTTAGACGCTTGGACATGTAAAGCAGGCGATACATTTGTAGTTTAGTATAAGGATTTATGATAAATATAAAGCGTATTAACGACATTATGAAAGAAGAACTAAGCAACAAAATGCCAAAAATGCTTGCCACATCCATAAAATCGAAACTTTGTGCGAAGCAGAGCCCAATACGTAAAGAAGTATAATTACAACAAAATATTGACATTTTTATTGCGCTTGGAATTTTGGAATTTATTGGATTTGAAATACTCCGCATTACATTAAATTTCGTTTAACCATAAAGGTCCATTTTAAGGATGGACCGTTTATCACAATTAATTGTAAGAGGAGAGAGAATGTTCTTTAGAAGTGTTTGGTAAACAGATGATTGGACAGATCTGGACAGATCCAGAAGATTGAATCGACAATAGTCGACATTAGTCTAGAAGCTTAGCAACCAGAATGTTGGAGTCGGACTCTAAACAGATAATTTGACTATGCTTGAGAGCACTTCTAATATATTCTAGAATTAACGCAAGTATGTAGTTACTAGTGTGTGTATTTAATACTTAATTATTTAGGTCTGTGCTGCTATTTATGAATATTACGTTTTAAAATAGCAATTTCATCTCTCTTCTACAATGCAAAATATTATCCCCAAATTATATATTTAAGTCCCCAAATTTCTTTGCTTTGGCTAGAACATAAACGGAACTAATTACACAATAATTTTTTTCCTCCGAAAGCTGTCCAGCTTAAATACCTGAAATGCCTTTAAGTAGCGAGCTGTTGTTGTAAGCGCACTGGTTTTTAAATTACTAATATCTCAATTGCAGTAGAGAAATTAGGGTCTAGTTACGTGGCTAATAACACTAATAAAGGAGGAGTAATTAAGATTTTTGAACAAACGTTTTTATTATACGCATTTAACTACTTGTAAGCCTTAATTGTGCCCTTATATACTAAAAAGGTTCTGTCGCTCATATGTCTTATTATAGTAAGTTGTTAATTCTAATAAACTTAAACATAAATTGTATAATTAATATGAACCGAGAGTTAAGGCTTTTTTGGTTATATAATCATTTATTCCATTTTATTTTGCTTACTTTCTAGGCCAACGGCGAATATGCCTCCGAATTTTGTGGCCCAGCAACCTCCAACGCAAATCACAGGACTGCCACCTCCGCCGCCACAGACACAGCAACTGCAACCGGTTGGAAGTCTAAACAACGGTCCACTGCCAATGCAGTCTCAGGTTGGACTTGGACTGGCCGTGGCGACACCAGCGCCGCGTGTGTTTAAAGAATTGGCGCATCAGCCGAACAAGGGTGGTAGCGGTGGACCCTCAACTGTTGCAGGAGTTTTCCATAAAATGGGTGCGTGTGCAGTGCCGACAGTTACAAGTCCATTGCCACATCTTACCAAGGCGGCAATGCCTCAACGAGCCGTTGCGGGACCAGCACGTTTGACTGTACAAAGCACGCCAGTGAAATCACAGCCGCCCATGCTGAGTGGTAGTCTCCAGCCCTCACCCAATCGGCCCACTTTAGGCATACCCACAAAGGCACCCCCTAACGGACACAGCGGCACACCAACGCAGAGCTCAAGTGGTGTAGGAAGTGGCGGAACTGGTGATCCTTCGCCACGCACACATCATCATGAGTTTCGAGCGCTGCAGCGGGTCCAGGAATGTCACAGCTCCTCCGATGAGAACCGCTCCTCAGGCCATGCCAGCATGTCTGACACCGGTGGTCATGGCAGCTCCTCACCAGCGGGCGGTATGACCCTGGGACCGTTGCCAGAGGACCGTTTGGCCGCTGGCGTCACGAACCGAAGCACACGTTCCCGCTCCAGTCAGCAGCATGCACGACCACGTCATCGTGGCATACCCGCTAAGGCACCCTGGAGTGGTAGTGGCCTGGAGGACATCAAACTGGCTATACAGCAACTGACTATGCGATCCCAGACCAGCACCAGTACCTATAGCAGTCTGAGTGCTGGATCTGAAAGCTCGGAACCGGCCCGTCGACTGGGTCGCTACTCCTCGCTAGAAACAGTGAACACAAATGTAACCAGTGCCGATGAATTCGTTTGGGTAGACTCCCATAATCGACTAGTGGAGCTGCAACATCCACCCTGGAGCCAAAACTGCATTATGCGCGTCATGCGCAACGGGCGTTGTAAGGAGCAAGCAGAACACATGGCCGCCGACGTCACCCCACGTCTCGGCTATCTCCTACAGCGCGCGCTGGTAAGGATTGCTCGCGAGATACAACGATTCTCAGCAGGATTGGGTCTCTGCTCGAAGCAAGAGGTGGCAGCAGCCTTCAAGGTAGTACTCTGCTCCTCACTGGCGGACTCCTGCACGAAGGCGTGCTTGCGTGCTGCCGCCATGTTTGCTGTGCCTGGCGAGAGTGCTCTGAAACAGAGCAAGTCGGCGCGTGCCGGTCTACAATTGTCCGTGGGTCGTTTTTATCGTTGGATGACGGATGCCCGTCTGGGCAAGTTCATACACGAGTATGCGGCCGTCTATTTGTGTGCTGGGATCGAGAATCTGCTGGAGGAAATCATGCTGCAGTGCAGCAGCAACTGCACGGTACAGCAGCCACTGACAGCGGCAGCTCTGGACCAGAGCATTGCCAGTTCGGGCGATATGTGGGGTCTGCTACAGCCCTTCGCCCATCTCAATGCCGGACGCATAGCCTCGGGTGCCTTGACCATGCCGCGCTGGGCTAGCCAATCCTCCCTGGCTACCTGTGTGGGCAGCATTAGTGAGCTGAAGGAGAAAGCTTTGCGCACCCAACATCAAAAGTTTCAGCATGCTTGCTTATCTGGCGCCGCATTGACCGCTCTCTTCTACTTCATGCGCTGCTCTCAGTTGGAGCACACGGAGTTGACAGCTCAAACGACGGGAGGCCAGGGTCAGACGGTGGCTAATGGGGGCAGTGCAGGCGCCGCGACTCAGAACGTCCAAGAATTGTGCTACGAGCGTGCCTACGTGGTGCTACCACCGCTTGTGGAGTGGTTGCGTGTGGCGTCTGCTCATGCCGAGTATCGTAGTGCAGTGATGATTGACAAGGATGATATCATGCAGGCGGCGCGATTACTGTTGCCCGGCGTGGACTGCCCCATTCGACCGGTGGCCCATGATGAGGAGCTGCCCACCAAAAAGACGCACTTCAACAGTGGTACCGCAGGCTCCGTGTCGGGTACCACATCTCCGCCGGCTGTCACGAATATATGTGAGGACACCTCAGAGCTGGGACGCAGAGCAACTATCGGTGTGGCTTTTAAGTTACTCTTGACAGGACGTGCGGAGCTTCTGGCTCAGGCGGCACAGCTGTTACCTCCAACAACACGCTACGATACACAGAATCATGCGGGCATGACCGCTCTAATGATTGCCAGCATAAGGAATGACGAGGTGGCCATTCAAGCACTTCTCGATGCTGGGTGCGATCCCAATGTGGAGGTGCCACCAGCAGGAACAGCGGGCCATCCCGCAGTACAGGCAGATACGCAACACTGGACTGCAGTCACCTTTGCCGCCAGTCGCGCCAACTATGTGGCCCTGCGCATTCTTCTTGAGCGCGGCGGCAAAGCCGAGGGCGGCGCCAGAGCTAGCGAAGAAAAATGTACGCTGACACCTTTACAGGTTGCATGTGGTACGGGAAATTTGGAAATTGTAGCGCTACTGTTGGCCCACGGCGCCAATGCTTTCCTATCCACACAACAGAAGGACTCCATGTGCGTGGGATCCGCGCAGAAGGGCTGCTTCTGTGCCATATCTGTGGCCGCTGCCCATGGCCATCGTTCGTGCCTCCGCAAGCTGCTCACGCACCCGATAGCACCCAGCACTCGGGATCGTGATGTTTTGTCGCTAGAGGAGATGTTGGCGGAGGGCGATGTAACAGTCAGAGGACCAGGTGTGCCACCTGGCGCTTCGGACCGAACAGCTGCACCGACAGATCTGCTGCCCTTGCTAAACAAGACACAGATCAAGCGACTACAAGAAGCCATGTACCATAGTGCCGAAAACAATCATCTGGGTAAGTAAATTCCTAAAGACATATTATATACTTGGCAAGAAGTCAGAAAGATTAAATAAATTGGTTTCGAAAATCGCATATTCATATCAATAAATGCTCAGATTGTAATGTACGAGTATTCGATAACTATTATTTATATAAAGCGAGCTATTGACAATCTCTGTAATTGATATATTATTCCCATACTCATACTCCCATCCTTCCACCGCTGCTTAAGGTTTTTAGTTCTAAGGCTGATGTTTATTTTAATCAAATAACTTAGTACCTCATAGCTGATAAGTAACATTATTTAAGGTCCATTCTCGTATTCTCTCTCTTAAATTTTCTTTCTTCCTGCACAGATATTACAATAGAGCTGCGAAAATTGGGTGTTCCGTGGACACTTCACTGTTGGATGCATGCGCTATCCGCCGCCCATGAACTACGCCTGGATGTCGTCATAGATCAGTTGTTGCAAGACTTTCTGCAGGTCTGCCCGGATGACTATAGCGCTCAGTTTGTAAGCGAGTGCCTGCCGCTGCTATTTAACATTTTCCGATACAACAAGAACGAAGGCACCACCCTGCTCTTGGCGGATATATTTGCCACCTGCTTCGGTTGGGAGACACTAATGCCGCTGAAGGAGCCTGTGCTCCAACCCGTGCACAGTTCGCGCATCGATCCGAAATTTGTCAACAATCCAGAGCTGAGTGATGTCACCTTCAGGTGAGTCATTACTTTTACCTTTATAAGAAGCACACTAACATTATCTAATTTCCCTTTGCAGAGTCGAAGGCAAGGTGTTTTATGGCCACAAAATTGTTTTGGTAACCGCCTCGCCACGCTTCCAGAGCATGCTTAGTTCAAAATTGAGCGACGCGAACACGCCCACTGTGCAGATCAATGACATACGCTACCACATCTTCCAGCTGGTCATGCAATTTCTCTATAGCGGTGGCTGCAGCTCCCTGGATGTGTGTAACAGCAATGTATTGGAACTGATGGCTGCCGCCAGTTTCTTCCAGCTAGACGGGCTGCTCCGCTACACTGAGGCGCGTTGCTCTGAAATGGTTGACATCGACAATGTTGTCGCCATGTACATTCATGCTAAGGTCTGTGAATAAGCCGTACTAAGTCATAAATGCAGCTTTCCTAACACCTTCCTCTCCTATACTTTCAGGTTTACAACGCAAACAATCTGCTCGAGTACTGCCAGGGCTTTCTGCTGCAGAACATGGTCGCTCTGCTGACTTACGATGATTCTGTAAAGCGTTTACTGTTCGCCAAGAAGATACCAAACCATGATGTGCTCGCTGGCTTGCTTCTGACATTGCAACAACGTCTGAAGACCCGCAAGCCCAATGGCCTGGTGGCCGCTTTTCGCACGCCACTGCCAACCACGCCCTCAAAGAAATAGCGAGAGACCGATATACACAATGATGGGGTTCACCGACAATCACTTATCAGTACAGCATGCTAAATATTAAATTCAGTAGATCTGCTAACATATTTCCAGATAAGTTCTTCGAAAACGTGCATTCAGTTAAAGCTAACTTTCAAATATGAGTCTGATTTAAGACTGCTTTAAGAAACATCCGACTTCTGGCGCTCAGAATTGCTCTTCATTATCCGTTCATCATGATCGTTGAAGGCTATATTTAATCTGATAGTCGGCTGCCTTTGTGAACGCCCTGAATATTTATTGCTTTGCTTAAGACCTTTAGCGACCTTAAACGTTTGTATCGTATAAACTATGTATTATAACCTACCCAGTAACTGCCAATACCCCTAGCCTATGTGACGCCCAAATCAATTTATATTTACTTTTGTATGTAGTTTGTATTTGTATTTGTATTTTATTCCCCAAATTGTTCAGCGCACTGTTAATTTTTAACTTATATGAGAGTGAGGACGATCAAGTGTATCCTGTAGTTAGTTGAAATTGTTTCTTCATTAAAGGAAGTAAAAGGAAATGAAAAGACTTGTCATGTTTGCTTTGAATAATAGATGCTGGTGTGGTCGACTCTTTATTGAACTTGTTTAGGCAACATTATCAGTTTTGAGCGTGTTGTGCGTCATTGGCGGCTGCTCGGGTCCCAGCTCGCTAACGCGCTTGGCGGCCACGGCAATCTCATCGGGAATATTGCCACCTTCGGGCACAAAGCCATGATCATCGGCCTTGTAGTGGACAACGACCTCCTTGCCATTGGCATCGAAATACGAATACGAGCCGTTCACCTCCAAGTGCTGATCCTTCTGGCCCTGGTTGCGGACCACAGCGCTCTCCTCACGGAAGGAGCCATCCTCACCACGGAAGTGGAAGCTGTAGGAGCCATCCTCGTTCTTCTCATGACCCGATTCTAGGATAAGCACCGGCGATTGTACGACCTGTTGTTCCTGCGGCTGATGCTGCTGCTGATGCTGATGTTGATGTTGCACACTGCCGATGATTACTTTGGGGGGTGCGGCCAGAGTGTAGGCGATCAGAGCGAATAGTAAGAGCTGGGAAATGTTCCCATTAGTCAGATTTACAGTCGAATGTCGCTAAAAGTCTTCAATACTTACCAGCTTAAGCATGTTGATTGTTGATCTGAGATTTCCGATTGCTGGCTTGAGAAGATGAGCGAAGCTGAGCTGATCTCGTTGTTGAAGGCAAGGAGGTTGAACTCGAATTGAGTTTGTCAGCGCTGTCATCGTCTTTTATAAGTCGCCGACAATTAAGACAATGCTCAGAAGTTTGTTGCCGAAATTCAGATCGGGATACCTACCGGTTCTAACAATTGACACATATATGGAAACCAGTTCTTGGTATAAATTAAAAAGCGCAAATTACGGATGCACCTCTGGATGCCCTGCAATTTGTTCGTTTAATTTATGCCCAGTTCACCACCTCGCCAACTCATTTGGCAAACATTTTGGACTGCATTCCTCCAGGCGTTTGTTTACTTAGTGCTTAACGCCACGTAAACTGCGGTTCAGCATCATCATGACCATTATATAGTAAGTATCATCATCATGATGATGATCATCATCTCGGCACATACTCGTACATATTCGAATTAAGTATGATGCGGTTGGTGGGCCGTTAAAAGTATTCCCGCTTCCATGCACAGATGCACTTAATGCCGCATATTTCAGGTTAAGCATCGCGCAAGCACTGGAATTTTATTGGATGTATCGATTTGGTCCACCCGACTGCAATTCAATGCACGTTCCATGCCCCTGCATATTGTTACCGCTTCGATTACTTTTCACATTATTATTTTCTACTCAGACGATTTTCAAGGAACGATATTTCTCGAACTCGCCACAGCCAGGCACGGAACATGGCGAGATTTTTCTTCATTTGCAATTGTTTACATGAAAACTATAAACAAAACGCTGCGTATCCGCCTTCATCGTGCCCGCCTCCTACCGCGCCTTCAGCTCCACCAGCCCCACCAGCCCCACGAGCTGCCGTTGTTGTTTCTGGCTGTTATTTTTGGCACCGGCCGTGCCGGCCGCGCACTGAATTCTCCAGCTAGAACATCGACTATATTCGATCTACATGCATAGTTTTGAAAAAAATAGGAAAAATGTATAGTATATAAGAGAGGAGAGAGAAGAGAGGCGGAGACAAAGCCAAAGGGGCAGGGAATGCACTGCAACGGGCGAAGGCAATATGTTTTGCCTGACTGCCAACTATGTTAGGCAGTGCCCGAAAGGAGGGAGGTGGAGGTGGAGGGGTAGGGGGCGGGGGGAGGGGGGCGAAACATACTTAAAGGTGGCACATGCGCTCCACTCCAGATCAGTTCTTTTCTTGCCTTTTGTTTATGCAACAATAAATTTTGAACATTTAATTCCATTTCATTAGAAATGCTACACAAACATCAAAATGTACATATGTAATTATAAAGCTATATACAAGTATACAGATGCATGTGTTTGCACTTGTATGTATGTGTATTTATGTGTTTGTATGTGTTTGTGAACATTTGCGTTATACCTTGTGGCCGACACTTCAAATTTTGAGCGCATATCGATAGAAGACAAATCAATTTATAGGCTTTTCATCTACGAACACAAAGCAGATGCTTCAGTTTCGGTAGGTATGTATGTACTCGTATGTATATATACAGAGGAATAGCCAGGAATGCCAAATTAATATTTATAATAATACTATATGTATTATAAACATTTAAACAATGAAATAATTAATAAGTAAGTCATTGCAGACAATTTCTATTTCGATTTCACTTTAAAACCACTTTTAGTTCAAAGCATAAAACACATACTACGAGTACGTATTTGTTAAGTTCCAAAAACCTACAAAATATTGTAAAAGCCGCTTGTGCTAAAAGTAAATTGTTATGGTTTTGTAATCGCTTTAAAAGTAATCACCCATCATTAAAATTTAATCCGATACATCATTTGAGGTATGATACGTAAACTTTTATTGCAAAATAAAAAACGATTTCAACATTTCAGAGTAAAATTTAAAATATCTGTTACAGATCAGCAGTAAGTGGGTATATCGTCGCTGTATATATATTCGTATAAATGCAGTCAAAATATACATACATATATGTACAAGTATACTCGTACACGACAAATGGTATATAAAGCAAAAATATATATACACATGTTTGTTTGTTTGTTTGTTTCAAGTGTATAGCTAAACAATTAACGAAAATTGAATTTTAGGAAAATTATTACATTCTTTTCGCATTGCATCATACGTAGAAATGTCTATTCGCCTAGCTATCTTTAATGATATAATTGATGGAACTTGTTTAACACTCACTCCTAGGACTACTAAAGGCTTACTAAACTATATGTACCGTACTACACATTTTTTAAACATACAAGTACATCGATTTTACTGATCTGAAATGTTAAATGTAGTAGTAGAAAATCTCTTTTACTTAAGCAGAGAGATGGACGGAGAGATATCGAAGAATGGATTCGTCGCTTGGTGCTGATCATGGTTATACTAAAGTATTCTAATACTAATGCTTACCTTTTCACTCACAGTAAAAAGGGATATCCCTATAACTATAAAGACTTCCAGGCGATTAGTTCTGGTATGCATTATAATTATTTGAGATACAGACTAATGAAAATGTTCTCTATTTTCAAAGAAAACATTATGTACGAGATTTTGACAAAATTTTACTTTTACTTACCAACAGCTGCCACTATATACGATTGTAGGCGCTGTATCTAAGTAGCTATAGTATTCAGTCACGTTCAACATCTGTACAAGTTGGTTTAATTCTTAGTAAATATGCCTTTTTCCCTTTCCTGTCTTTGTCAAATAAAACGACAGTAAGCGGAAAAAGACAAATCGACTAAAATTTTGTTGCACACACATCACATCATACATCACTTCAAAGCGTACATACATACATATACATACATATGTACTTGTATGTAAATGGAATGGTATATACATGTGTACTATATACACGATATACGCGTATTGAATAATTTCTTTGGATCATGACGAAGGCAATTCGGGGGACGAGTGGCCGATTTTTGTGTCTATAACAAGTGATTTCGATTTATAATCTAAATTGAATTGAATTAATTTAATTTCTCTCGATTGATTTATAGATGTCTGGAAAACTGTGCCAGGGGGCGGTGCCTAGCAAGGCAGGGCAGGGCAGGGCAGGGCTGATGGCTGATGGTTGACGGCTGATGCCGATGGCAACAGGCAGGGAGAATCTTTGAAATCGTCGTCGTAATTTGGCTCTCATCAATGATCGCTACACATGGTACAAAAATAGTTTTATTTTTATAACTGTGTGCTGGTTCCTTTTTTGTTTTTAATGGACTTCCCCCACATACGCAACGTGGCATAGCCATCGGCATCTGCCAATGAACACACACAGAGACAGCGCCAGCGCCAGCGACAGAGACACGAATATATGAATAAGTGGCACACAAATTGAGCCAACAAAGTACTCGTAGATGGCGATTTGGCCAAGGAAGTTGTAAACTATGACAGGCCTCGGCTGGGTCGCCAGGAGGCAAGTGGCAAGAGGCGAGAGGGCTGCAGCAATTATACAGTGATTTGTTTCATTGGACCAGCAATTAATGACAGCCAAAAAGGCAACAGGCAGCATGGCGAAGACAAAAGGCCCAACCCGGCCCGTTCCGAGCCATTGAGGGGGCGGCAATGAGAGAAATGTGTGTGTGTACATATGTACATATGTATGTATGTACGTGCGTGTGTGTGGGGTAAACAAAAATGACGACATGTGCACATTGTGGGGCACGAAATCAGAGGAAAAATAAGCGATAAATAAATTAAATAAAAATATGAAAAGCAGACACTAGCAGCCGCAGCAATAGCAGCGGCTCCCCGCACACCGCCCTCCGTCTGACCGACCCGTGTTTTTGGACTTCAACGTTTTTAACGGAACATATTTTTAGCAAAATTTCGCGAGACGAGTCAAAAAGCTTTTGCCATTTAATTTGCATAGCGTTTTCGCCAGCCAAAAGCAGGCAGCGGACTAACTTGTGGAATCAGTTGAGAAATGGGGTGTGAATTTCTGATATCCTTCCCCATCCACGCTGCATGCAATTGAATCGGAATAATTCAAGTTCAAATGGCAACTTTTCCTGCTCCAGATGGTAGACATTGCATTTAGTTTTTGCTTCGGAAAATTTTACATCTGTACACTTTTATTTTTACAATTTAATTGATCACCACACCCCAAATTGAAAGCCAAGGTATTTACTTATATATTGAATACTTATTGGGAATTTGAAAATTTTTTTTCGAGCGAGCTGATCCGTACACGTTGACGCGTCGCGACGCACTGCACCTACGCTCCAAAATTTCGAAAACTCAAAGACAAGACGGCGATCGTAGGAAAGTATTTGTTTCTTTTCTCGGTTCGGTTTTTTTTTTTTTTGTTTTTAGAAAATATAAAAACCAAGAAATATACAAAAACCTATGCACTGACGTGCGCGACTGGGATAGCAACAGGCAAACGGCCATAAAAGAGAGGCAATGGCGAGTTCCAAGTGCACGCCGGAGCACGGAAATTTGTGTAGCTCAGCAGCTGCTGGTGGCCAGTACGAGAGCGGAGAGCGATCGTGCGCCCCATGCCTCATAATGTAAACACCCACACACATTTCCTGCTGCTGCACGATACGGAAAACTGTTTCTAAAAACGGATAAAATAGCTTATTAAGGAAACATACATATATACATATATACATACTCTCATAAGCCCGTCTCCCCACCAATCCCCAGCCCCACAGCCACAATGAAGTTTACATCAAAGTTCAATCAAATATGCCTGTAGTATTAGTATCCGTGTAATTCCTGCAATTAGAGGCCGGACCCCAAGCGAATTTCCACTTCCAATTCTTCTACTCTTACTCTAATCACCACGGTTAGCCACACCCTGCACATCTGTCAGTCAGTAAGTCGGCACATGAGCGAAAATAAACAACAAAAAATGTTCGAGTTTTTTTCGGAATATGATTTTTGAATCTCTAAACATTGGGGTATTTATGTATGTGTGTGTGTGTGTGTGTGTGTTCCTTTGTGTGTGTGCTGTCAGGCTGCTGCCCACTTGAGCATTTTCGAGAGGAAAATGCTGCTGCTGGTGCTGCTGCTTCTGATGCCACTGTTGGAAATTCTAAAACGCTTAGTTAGTTTTATTTAACTTTCTCACATTGTAAACATTTCACTTGACGCGCTGCTAATTTTAACTTTTTTCGGTCGATTCGAAGAAGGGAGGGAAATAAATTACGGATATAAACAAAAAATATATGCTTATAGTTTACCTGTGCTTGCATTGCGGTTTCTTTAATGGCTCCAAGCTGAAAGGCGGGTGGGCTATGAACTGTAAACAGAGTTCAAACAAGTAGAGAAGCTAAAGTCGGGTGTTTCTACTTTGAAATACTCTGTACATATGTTTAGAATAATAAGAAAACTAAAAAAAAAATGTCGATGCATTTTACCTCTCTCGGTATTTGAACTCACATAAAGGGTGTACATTTATTTCCACATTTACATAGCAATTGCGTCTATGTGAGTGTATGCATGTCTATGCGTGTCTATTCGTGTCTGTGTGAGCATGTTTGCAGTCAATTAAAGCAGCAACATCAAGAAAAGCTGTGGGCAGCGCTTGGCAATTATATTTATGGCTATAACTTCCTGTTAAATCGGTCTATCATAATGAAACTTGGCATATGGACTCATAATCACTAATTAAATGTTTTTGCTGAATTTCGAAATTCCAAGAATTAGGGGAGTTATCACTAATTGCATGGGATAAGACATAAGACATCTTGGACTTCAAATTTAATGTCCCTAGATTTTATAGTCTCCGTGATATAGGCGATTATACGAATGGAAAATCGGGAAAGCCACAATAGGGGGGAAGTGGAGAAGAAAATGGAAAAAATAAAACAAACCAAATCGAATCGTATTGTCATGCTGATCAAGAATATGTATATACTTCGTGGGCTCTGCCACGCCTCCTTCTGCCTGTTACATTTTTCAGGTCGCGCAAACCTAATATACTCTTGTGCATTTCATGTAAAGAGTATAAAAATAGTCGCGAGGTTAAAAGAGGTCGTAGCGCACTTTTCAGTACGGTCTACGAGTATCTTGAAGCAACTCCTAAAATGAGGAAATAAATGTATTGATTATGGAATTAAAGGTATAGGGTTTGAGCAAATGATCATATAATTTATTGAAGAAAGCATTGTAAACTTCAAAGATAACCACTCTTTAACTTGAAATACATAAGCCCTGCATCTTATATATGTAACTAATAAAATTCATCAGCAAGCAACAGAATAGTGCAAGAGGTCTAATTGCCCAGTCTAGAAAAAGGCGTGGCAGACACTACATTACAGGTAATACTCGATTGTGAATAGTATTGCGAAGTGAGTCGATAAAGATAACACCGTCTGCCCGTTTGCCTGTCTGTCCATTCGTATTAGCATGGAGAACTTGTGCACCATACCACTTATCTTTACCCTACACAGAGAAAGTTTATTACAAACCACATACAACCTCAATATATATTTAAGTAAGCGGTTAAGTAGTAGTTGGCATACAACCGATCGGTGCAAAAAATTTTAGTATCGTACCATTTTTGTTTATAAATATATCGTTAATAATTTTAGTATTTATGAGTGACTCATGATATTCTGAGGCTCGTAAATTGTGCACTACAAGTATAGTATATCGTATAGCTGCTATTGGAATAAATATAATAATCAATGTTTGTGAAATTCGTGGAAAAGAAATTGGGTTTTCTATTATATATTATTTCTATTATATAAAATTGTTGTAATTGGACTTGTGTGAACAAATTACTCATATTAACAAAATCACAAAACTTAAACATATCGAATTCTTTAGATCAAGAACCGGAGCAAGCTCTAAAAACTCTAACTAAAAACTATTGGAATCATACAAGAACTTCTTTTTAAAAGACAGTATTGAAGCATATGCTTTACGTTGATTCTTTTCATTAAACTGATGGAATGGTACTCAAAAGTTTTCCATTATGTTTTGATATTTTTGTATTTTTAACCGATTTCAAAAAAGAGGAGGTTATCAATTCGTCTGATAATTCGTTTGAAAGCTGGTGCTTCCAGAATGGTCCCATATAAATTTAGTCCAGTTCTGACAATGTATTTTGTAATTTGTATTAAGTATGTGCAAGACAAATGAACGAATAACTTTTTATCACGATAACCGATGATTCTTTTTTTATTGGAAAGGATGTACTTTAAGGGTACTTTGATGAGAGTTTGGTTAGGTTCTGCAAACGAGGACGTTCTCAATTCGACTGTATTGTTCATTGTTACCTCAGAACTTTAGACAGTGTAAACCGATTTAAATGATTCCTTTTGTATTTAAAAGCTGATGATTCCCATGTGGTCCCATTGCAATTTGGTCCAATTCTGACAATGGCATCCATGAGAAATCCATATAATTCTTAAAACATACAAAATGTTCATGGGTTTTAGATATCATTCGAAGGCACCCGGTAGATGAGTATCAAATTTAAATGAGATATCATGTGAAATAGAATTTCAATTTCAGTATAATGCCGTCGAAAAAATCTAACCGTAACAATGCGTGTAGCAAAAATACACGACCCCAGCGTTCTAAAAGCTCAAAAGTCAGAAGAACAAACTGCAACAAGAGCCGCAACTCAACAAATCAGAACAGAAGATATTCGCAGACGACAGACATACAGTGTGATGAACGTTTTCGACAAAATATATTGAGAACAAGAGTGGCGCTGTCTCATATGAGAAACACGTTTATTAGGTCTACCCATATTCATACAGATTAGTTAGTGTACTTCACATTCACTAAAAATCCAAAAATAAACAACAATTTAAACAAAAAAAGAAACCGATTTCAAACTATTAACAGGCACTAAAAAGTAAAAAATAATTACGTATTCTTCTACAACTTAATATTCATTATATAATGTAGATACAATTATTGTTATTTTTGGAGTCGGTGTCAGCCAAGGAAACCTTACAATATATCAATCAATCAATCAATCTACCAGTAATAATATGAGAATACTTTAAGAAATACTTTTTTTTACAAATTAACTTCTATACGAACGACAATATACTGTGACAGATTACCAATACCTAATTAAACCCAATTTCAAATTAACTTTTATACGACAATACACGTATAACTAGAATGACGTAAGAATGACGTAGTAGATATAGAAAGAGAAAAGAATCTGAAATGGTTCGTAATGAAGGGCCTCTTTCTCTTGACTGGCGCAGCGCGCGACCGCTGACACCGACTCCAAAAAAAAACAATAATTGTATCTACATTATATATTGAATATTAAGTTGTAGAAGAATACGCAATTATTTTTTACTTTTTAGTGCCTGTTAATAGTTTGAAATCGGTTTCTTTTTTTGTTTAAATTGTTGTTTATCCAGTTTCAGTTTCAAGAGATTCTTAATTTTTCGAATGTTTTCTGTCATGTGAATGATTTGACCATTTCAGATAAAAAGTTTTGACAGATTTTATATTTAATTGTATATTTTCTTAGTTTTGTACATTATTAGGCAACATGGACGAAATTCGCGAAACAGTGGTGCATACAATGGATGATATCCTGACGAATCTCTGCAAACGACTGAAGGCCATCTCCGTCGACGTGGAGAGACTGCAACGTGTGAAGGAGCAACTAACAACAATGCAGAATCGCCAGACTCTCGTCAATCTGCTGGGTGTGGATGATAACGATAGCTTAGCGCAGAGTGTAGATCTGCAGAAAATGCAGTCAAAGCTAAGCTTTCCCATACACAAAGATCCGATACTGCCCATTGCAGACACAGGTATTGAGGACACCGAGGATGACATTGGGGAGGAGTTGAGCGAGGATCTGTGTTTGTTGCCATTTGATGATGAAGATCGCTGGCATAATTTTTTCAACGGCTTCGAGATCATAAACACGCCCGACGCAGTGCTGCTGAACGGGAACAGCAATTGCATTGAATTAACGCGTTGCCAATGTGACCAGGAATTGAAGTGCTATTTGCGTAAGACAATCTTGGTATATGGTAGCTAAAGATCCATTTTCTCAGAAGCTGCTTCCCTCCCGCAGTGTCAGGCGTGCGCTGTTTTATGATCGATCTCTTTACGGGTACCATACGGGATAATCAAACAATGATGTTGCAGATCCGCGAAGCAGAGCTTAGCACTTCCAAAGAGTACGGCTTTCCTGTAGTCTCCACCGTCTTTGCCAAACTGTCGCCACGCTACCAATACACAGGCTACCTAAGCCAAAGCTATTCGGAGACCTGCAGCGTGGAGCTGAAGCGGGGCTATAAGGTGATGTTGACCGTCGACCGCCAATACTCGAATTGCTGTACCTCGCACGTTATTTACGTCAATGCGCGATTTCTTCTCTGCGATGTCAAGGAGTTCGACTTTATACTCTTGGGGGAGGACATACAACTGATGGTGAAGAGTGTCGGCCAGGATCATATCAATTGTTGTGTAGCGCGTCCTGGACTGCTCACCTCCTACATGCCAGTGCGGTTTCCCTCACGATGCCGCAGATTCCGTGTGTCCTACGAGGAGCTGGAGGACTTGACCTTTTCCCGTGAGGTGGGCATCAACGTAGTCGTGTCGAATTTTGTGGGCACTATTGAATATCTGGACGATCTAGAGGAAGCTATGGCGATGCTTGAGTGCGATCATCTCCGTCTGTATGCACGCGTCGTGCTCAATGAAATCCTGGGCTGCGATGGCGATCTCAATTGGGTGATGACACGATACGATGGGCTTTTCGTAGAGCTCGCCCGACCCAAACCCACAGAGCCCACGCCCAACATCATGCATTTGTGCCCAGATGCCGAGTGCCTCATGCAGCTGGCCCATGATGCGAAGAAGCCAATTGTGTTGGACGCAACCCTCATCAACCAGCAGATACTTCGCATAGATCCTGCCCATTACTACCATATGTTCTACTTTCCCGACAAATATCTTATCAAATGCGACGATTCACTTAAAACCTATTACTTCAGCCTACTGCAGGGCGCCATTTTCGATCAAATCGGTCAAGTGGCGCTGGCTAAGATGCCCTTCTGCGACAGCTCCCATACGGGCGCCGACACCCTGGCCCGCTCAGTGGTAACCGCCTCGTACGAGGTTCAGGCCGTAGCCATTGTGGTGTGTGGTGTTACCACCCGAATGGTGCAGAAAATCTCCCACTTCCGTCCCAGGGCCCCCATACTGTTCATTAGTCACATGCGCTCGGCTGAGGACTATGTGTCCTTGTACCACAATGTGACGATGCTCTCCTATCGCACCAGACACTTTATTTCGCATCGTCGGAACACATACCGAAAGGCCATCTATGCGCTGGCCTACTTGGCTGCCCGGAAAAAGCTGAAACACAACGATCAGATTATTTTGGTGTACAACTACGAGGCGGGCACATCGTTTCCCGAGAATTATCTCATCTATAAGTTTGACAAACACCACTTCACAGATCATATGGCCTCATCAATGTTTCCCGTGCAGGCGGATAAGGAGGATAAAGATACTAAGCCTCATGTTCAACACATCGGCACTTGAAAGCTCCGTCAAATCATTAGGTAGTAAATATATTAAATCATTTAAAATGTAAACATTCTATTTTTCTTCCATACACGCCTTTGTTGGCCTCTGTCGGTAGTTTATATGGTTAGTTTATTTCTATAGCAAATTGTGGGAATGTGTTAGGTTTCGACCAAAATTTATAACAGCGCAGTCATTCATAAATACATAACGAAAAATACATACGACTGCATAATATATACGATGACTTGAACATAGGATACAATTACATACTAAGTGCATATATATATGTATATAAATAAACATTTTAGGTACACCTTTGGGTATGTAGTATGTTTAAACTAACATTGAACTGATCGTTGCATAAAAAGCTATAACAATAATAACAACAACAAGTCATTTACACCGTCCCAATTCGAATCACTTTCTCGATCCGTCTCAAATCACCTAATCGTTCAGGGTCTGAAGTTCAGGGTGTCTTTTGCAGCGCTTTTGAGGTAACATGCTCGTAGGCCGCCTTCAGTGTTGTGTAGCAGTAGCCCGCCAGGCCGCTCATTTCAGCCTTAAAATTGGCGCCATCCGTGAGATCTTCAAGTAGCGCCAGTTCCGCCCCCAAATGTGGCACGGCAGCACGCAGCACTGCCAGCATAGTAAGGGGTATCATGTTATCGCCATTCACCTGCTCCGAATTGTCTGAAATTTGTTTAAAGAATTTCAATTAATTTGCTTTTTTTGTAACAACTCGGAAGGTGGGCTTACCAGCCGTGGCGCTATTGTAGGCATCGGTTAGAAGTTTCATGCACTCTTGTATCACAGTTAGCATGCTCTTGGGGCTGAACTTTTCCTGCAGCTGCTTTAGCATTTGTATGGCTTCGTCAAAGTAGGCGTCGCTCATCACAGCATTGAGGTTACTGAAATGGCAAACGAAACTTGACATTATTCAGAAATTCATCCCACAAAATGAGAATTATTGAGCAATAATAATCTGTCATCGAATATCCAAATAGAAGTAGCCAGCAATTAGGGAAATGTTGGAAAACAAATTAAACTGTTATCATAGTGGTATTTATCTTTGATCGAATGCCGGAACGGAAACAGGCATGAATACAATAAAATTGTAATATCTTTAGAAGCAATACCTTATTTGAATTTTGCTTTGAATCGTAAATTTTTAAATATTTTTCATAGTTGACAATCAAAGTATATTTTGTATCAACTACGATTGCTTTTATCCCAACATATAAACGTTTCAAAATTTGGTATCAACTTCTGATTAAGCTCTGTTGTAAGGTATATTCGAAATGAAGATTAATATTTAAATTATATTTCATTTAGCTTACTTACCGTTCGAGCTCCAGCAGTTCGATAAGATCCTCGTTTTGTAGTCTGTCTACATAGTTCACATTCTGCCTGTACATCTCATCCTTGGCGCTGTATTTATTGGCGTACAGCACGAAAAGGGTGGAGTAGATGCCTTCAGAGAGCACTAAAGGATAGAGTAGAGTTATATGTGAGACGACCTCAGTGGAGCCCTCCAAATAACAGTAATCTACGGGTAGTGCAGGAAACATCATGCGCACAAATCGATACATTCGCTTTGAGATCGATTCCCATTCACGCATCGCCTGCTTGGCCAAAATAGATGTCGGTTTCACCTTCCAGTACCCATATGAATAGTGAAAGCAATTCGCAACGCGTTCGTTCAGTGCATAGAGCGGATGGTGGCGGTCCTTGAATGCTTGTTCTAAGTACAGGCTAATGGCATTTACATCTTCATTGCTGAGGGTAGAACCCATGCCAAAGCTAGGCACCATTTCCAGCGTGGTCGATGTTGAGGCAATTGAGCAACTACTGTTGTTATTGTTATTTGGTTTTGAGACATTGTTGTTGTTGGGAATGCTGCTGCAACTTCCATTTAAAGTACTCTGCGACGATCTCGTAGGATCGCCATTGAAGCTGCTACTGAGCAATCCATTATCCAGCGGAAAAGTCGCAGCATATGAGCCCACATTTAGATCGCAATCCCCACTGGCCACTCTATTGTGCCCCATTGAGAGTAAACTGTCTGCGCGCTGCAATGCATCCTTACTGCATAAAGCCTCCTGCGACTGAATGCGTCGTGGCGGTGAGAGCAGGTCCAATGCGTGATTCTTTATTGGTGCCGTCTTCTGAGGCAACTTGTCGAAACTGCTGTTTGCGAAGCTCAGAAGAATGTTACGCTCAAAGAACGATGTGTCCCGCTGTAGCTCGGACACTTCGCGGGCGTGCTGTCTGCTCATGTAGGCGCTAATGCAGTTCCAGAGCTGGGTTGTACTCAAAGGCGCTTTGGATTGTTTCTTTCCAGTCCCACTTGTATTTATATTCGCATTGTAATTCTCTAGTTCCGACTCGAAATTAGTGAAGAGCGCTCGCCACTTCCGGTTATTGTCTACGACAAACTTTTCAATCGATCTGTAAAGACTTTCAATAAGCGAATGTATGAGGCAATAGGAATGTAAAACTTACTGTGGGTATTTGGGAAAACGTCGATTAAGGCACAGCTCGCCGGCTTGTATGCGAACTTGTTTCCAACTGCCGCTCAGCTGACCGATCATCTTGTTGCCACTCAGCTCGTAGTTATCTTCTTCTCCGATCACCCGAGAGCTTAGCTGATCCTCAAGTTTTAGAACCGCGCCATTGGGCATATAATACTCGCCCTTACCGTTTGGTCCACGCAGCGTTAGTTCACCCTCGTAATAGTACTCGTTTTCGAAGACCGCCACACCAGTGCTCATGAGCTCGTCTCCAATGAAGGTACCAGCAAAGTAGTCTCCACGGCCCGTGATACATATGCCCACCCCCATGCGCTTGTTATCCGCAAACATTCCCATGTATTTGTCACCGGTCTGCAGGTCCTCCAAAACACCATAGCCGCAGCGTACATTGGCCTGGTATTCTCCCACATATATATAACGATTGCTGCGAAACGTGCCATGTCCGTGGAAAAGACCCTCAAAAAAATTACCCTCATAGACTTCGTTGCCATTCATCTCGTAGCTACCGTGGCCGTGAAAGCGTCCGCCTTTGAAGCTACCCACATATACTCCATTTGATGGAATAACCATTTTCCCATGACCTACAAACATAAAGGAGAATGAAGCAGAAGCGAATAGTTATCTTCGCAAGTTGTATCTCATCTCTGTAGACAAAGTGTATAAAAAACATTCTATCTTTTGCTTCTAACTGCGCCATTTTAATTTCTGCAACACCCGCATTACTGATTATTAAAAATAATAATGAATCTCAAGGAAGGCAATTAAGATTCATTTACAATCAGCATGGACTGCAGTCCATGAAGCAGCGAAAGGTGTGGATAAACTACACTAACATTAAAGCACATATTGAAGGTTTTATTGGCACTTTAGTGCGCGATACGTCAATCGAATGGTGTTGAACCACAATTTCAATTTATATTAAGTTGACCATAATGGAAGTTATGCTACTTTCATAGACATAGATCCAAACAGACACAACTTGATAATAGGAATATAAAACTTCTTCAAGAGAAAATGTTTCTTATAAATTATAAAATAGATCTGCTAATAAGGAAGGAGATAAGCTGTCAACCTATTAGTTTGTAATAAATTATAATCAATATTTTTATTTGATAATAAAAATTTGTAAAATCTTATCGGAATGTTAATCACACAAAATTGAACAAAGAGGCATATACTATACATTTTTATATATTTTTTTTCCAATTACTCACCTTCGATAACGCCATTTAAAATGCTTCCGAAGTACACACTCTCATCGGGGTATTGTAGATAGCAGTTGCCTTGCAAGACACCCTTGCGCCAATTACCGCAGGCCTTGACTTTCGCGTATTTAGGATGATCTCGGCTATATTCGTAGCTGGTGCAACGCACGCTCGGCACTCTGCTGTCCCTTGGTCGACCCAATGCAGCCAAAATGCTGGACTGTAGCTGATCGTACCAGACTTTGCGATTTTCATGCGTGCGCGTCTGTAGCGAAAAGCTTTTCTCGGGTGTCGTGATACACAGTCCCGTCTCACCCTCCTGGCGCACCCAGAGGGTGGTCAGCGGATATGTGTAAAGAGAGTGACCTCCGACCTGGCATAGGCAGTCGGAGAAGAGTATAAAGGTGGTGCTGGACATGCTAATGCTTGCGAGCTTTAGCGGCACCATCGAGGACGTGAGTATAACGCGTCGCTGACGTCGCCGGAAATGCTGTATGCGCTGATTGCGCTCATTGCTCCAGAACTCTTTTGTACTGACGGCCAGCTCTTGGCTAATGCAGCTTTGACTTGCGAACTCGGCCCAGGCTACACGATGCTCCTGGTACTCGGGCTGCCTTTTGACCAGCATCTCCATGAACTGTATGAACACCTGATAGATGTGAAATGGCTGCTGAAACAGACGTGTCAAAAAACTTTCTTCCTTGAGTTCAGCTAGCGGGCTGGGCAGCAAGTCTATAGCTCTGACAGCATCTCCAAAACCATCAACCGAATAGATGTCGCAATAGCTCTTAACATATCCGTGCAAGAGCTCGATGTATTCCCGATGATAGCACACAAATAGCAGATCCGCAGCTTGGACATAGTCCGCCCGATAGTAGCCTTCAAGCGAGTGGAGTGATGCGGTTAATAGGCACAGCATGCGCTCCCAGTTAACCAGCAGAGGCTCGAGAGCTTTCAGAGCAGGGACCGCCGCCGACTGACGCTGCCACATCTGGAGCGTTAGCACCGCCACTCGATCCTTGAGCAATAGCTGCATCTGCGACTGCAAATGACTCAGATAATAATGGTATTGACGCTGAAACTGGCGATGATTATGCAACGTAAATCCTCCAGCGCTGTGAAGCAGTCTTAACTGCAATGGCCAGGCTGCGCCGAGTTGCAGATGAAGAACCGTTTGGGCGTAGGTGGACTGTTGCTTGGGCGGCAGCGTCTGAATGTGGCCACTGGCATTGAGTAATATCGTGCGGTAGTCGCCACAGCAAGCCTCTAGTGCCATATGTTCCTCCTTAGGCAATGGTGTCTGATCGCTAATGGTGATTTCCGTGGGTACGCTGAGATCCTCGCCATCAATGCCCAATTGCATGCGACTATTTAAGCCCCAATGGTAGAGACGTCCATCCAAAGTACGTGCCACCGTGTGCTCGCGTCCAGCACCAATGCTGCAAACGCCCATGTTCTCAAGTTTTTGCACGCGTGTTACGTTATCGCGTCTTATATGATCACCTACACCCAAAAGGCCGTTGTTGGAGGCGCCAAATGTTAAAAGTTGGGTGTGGAGCAGAGCATAGCCCTGGTGCAGAAGAAAGCGCGCGTTGGCAGCAAAGCTTCGTTCGGTATGGTTGCTATCGGTGGCGCTGCTTAAGGATTTCACTGACGCGCGGTCAAGGGTGGCCATTGACGATACTCCACTGATATGCTCCATCAAGCTGCTACAAGCACCTTGTGAGCCACCCAAAGCCTCTCGGTCCTCTTTAGAGCTGGGCAGCTGCAACAGATCTTCTCCAGTATTCTGAGGCGCCACCAGAAGTACGAAATGCTCATCGCCGGCTACCAAGTCAACTAGTTCTTTGCCCTCGTCATAGAGGCGCATTTGGAAAGGCTCCGATTCCGCATTGAACACATCGCCACAGGTGCCCATAACATAGCATCCACTGGTGCTCACAAAGACTGCACCTTGAGCCGTGCAGCACACGCGCCTTATTCGAACGCCATCCGCACACAGTCCTAAGGGATCGAAATCAAGCGTTTGCCAAGCGCCTGGTCGGCAGGTTTGGTTTACAATACACTGACGCTGTACTGCGCCATCTTTGGTAACCACAAACAGTTCCTGGGTGCCGCGGCAAAAGGCCACATCGATGACATCAATGCGTAACAGTTGAAACTCAATCGTCGTCTTCTTTAAGAGTAGTTTGCCTAAATACAGTGAGTTATCGGCTGTGAGGAGAAACAGGCAATTGGTTTCCTCTGGCTGAGGGTGGTGGGGGTGCTGCGGAGGTGCCAGGCTGCAAAGGCGCACAGCGGGCGATCGTGTTAATGACGGCACTCCCTGCCAGTGCAGCTGCAAGGTCTTCCCCTCATGATAAATAACAAAAGCCTCGCACTTTGTCAAAACATCTCCGTCCCCACCCCCACCCACAGACGAATAGGAAGAGTTGCCGTCATTGACGTTGACTGCGCTGCCGCTGGAACTGGACATTTGCGTGGTAAGGCCGCGGACGCAGATTAGAAACACGATATTTCACTAATTATTTTCATGTACACATGCTAATTGCATTGAGCAATGGCCAAAGGACGCTAAAAAAACATTTTTACACTTGTCGCACTAAATATAAACAGTTCAATCTCACTCACTGCGCATTAGAGATGTTGGTATTCATCGATACATCGATACCCGATTGGTGATACCCCTAGTGACGGTGCAATCGAAATTTGTCGCAAGTCGTTATGAAATGTCGTACCACATATTTATATATGGTGCCCGCAGCTACAGTTGATTTCATTAAACAAACTTTCAAGTAATTGACTTAAGTTAAATTTACTTTGAAAGGCATTACTTGGAATTGTAATATAAAAAATCAAAGATTTTAATTTATATTTAATATAAAACAATTTAAGCAGTTAGCTGTTTGTTTTTTCTGTAGGACTGTAAACGACGGTCCTAATCGTACTCTAAATACCGTTATTAATCTTGTATTAGTCTTGCTCAACTTACAACTTATTCTTACATTGAACTACAACTTTTTATTTTCATTTTTCAATTGTTAGAAAGCACAGTGATTGTATTCGACTTGAATGCAGATGTCATTAACCGCACATCCCTACCACAAATCGATTAGAAGCTCATGCGGCTAGTGTGTACACACTTACAGCTGTTTTGTGTTTTGCGTGCCAAATATGTTGTTTTTTTGTGCATTTGTTATTTATGTGGCACAATATGCGTATAATGTAGTTAATTAAAGTTGTATAGTTACGGTATTATTGCACACATAGTTGGCCAATGTCCGCGCAAATAAAAAAATAACAGGTAAGTTAAACCGCCCACTGCAATAGCAGTTGCTAAACCAGTTTGTGTTTTTCGTCGCGAGTTTTCAAGTTAATTTGTTCTGCAGAGAGCCAATGGATTCGGACAGTGCTGCCGAGAACAGCACTGCTGTGCTAGCAGATGACTCTGGACACTACAGTTGCGCCAGTGACGATGCGGGTTCCAGCGCAAGCATCTCCAAATCCATGTCACATGTTCGGGAACACGAGCAATCACTGTTTCTTGCCATGCAGGATCTGCGTAAGTCGCGCAGCGAGGTGGAGCGTCTAAGCAAGTCTGAGCAATGGTATAAGCAGGAGCTAAAATCTCAAAAGCACAGCAGGCTCGAAACATTGGAACGACTGTACACACAGGAGCGTAAATATATGCAAGAGAATCAGCGTTTACAACAGGAATGTATGCAGCTCTACGCCAAATGCGCGACACTTGAGCGGCAGATGCAAACACCAGCGGCTGTTTTAACTCCACTGGATGCCGAAGCTGCTGTGCATGATATAGATGCCGTCGATGGGTTCGAGGCGCAGCAACAACAGACGCGGCTCACAGACCAACAGCGATTGATTGAAGTTTTGCGGAAGCAAAAGAAACTGTTGTTGGCGGACATAGAACGGGTGAGTCTGGAGCATGAAGACAAGATGTTGCAGCTGCAGCGCGCCCTCGCTGGTCTAGAACTGGAGAACAAACACGTGACTGGAAAGTGCAAGCAGCTGCTGGATGAGAAAAGTGCCTTGGAGCACAGCCTGGAAACAAAGAACTCGACATTACGGAGCCTAACAGCAGAACGCGAGCAACTGCGTCAAGTCGTTGGAGAGTTGAACAACACGCTGCAAACGCAGGAACACCTGTTGGCGCTTAAGGAACAGGAATTCATGGACTTGAAGCAGCATTACAACGACAAATTAAGCAAGGAATGCAGTGTAGATGCCGTACATAATTACAGCCTGCTATTTCATGAGGAGATCAATGCAAAGACTAGTGAGATAGCCGCTCTGAAGAACTCGCTGCATGATCTTCAAAATGAGTTGTCGCTGATGTCTAAGCTAGAAGCACAGAATGAGGAGCAACAGCGGCAACTGGAACAATTAGGCTTTGCATTGGAGACGCAGCAATTCGAGCATGAAAATCTAAAGACCAAGGATGCTATAAAGTGCCAACAACTGGAAGAGCAGGCCACGTCAATAGGTGAATTGCAGGAAGAAAAAAAAGACCTTGCTATGAAGCTGCAACAAAGCCAAGCCCAACTACAATTTGTGGAGCAGGAACTGATCAGACTGCACAAAGAATATGCAGACATGTGTGCCATATGCGAGAGCACAAAATTCCGATTGGAACTTTTGCAAATAGAGCATGGGAAGCTGGAGTGTGAAAGTGACAGCCATCTGCAAGAAATCTCGCAGCTGCGCAAGAAGCTCCGCAATTATGTGGACGAGTGTGCTCAGCTAAGTGATGCAATGGCCGCAAAGGAAGCCCAATTGGACAGCCAAACGCATCAGGCCGAAATGTGGCAACAACAGTTAGCCACAAAAACGCAACAACTGACGAGCATGCAGGAAAAACAACAGTCACAGCACCTCGCTGCGGCTGAGAAAGTAAATAAGTGCCAAAACGTAGAAGTCCAAACCGAGTCAATCAGTGCAATAATAGCTGAGCAATTAAATCCTTTGAAACAGCGCATAAATCTCTTGGAGGATCATCTAAAGAGCGTAGAGTCTCAAAAACAACACACAGTTTCGTTGCTGCAGAAACTGCTGAGGCAGCAGGATGAGAAGATCAGAAACACCGCTGCCACAGAGGCAGACTGGATGCAGCTGCTTGAAGCCCTGCAAGCAACGCAGCAGCTGGAAGAGCAACGACGCACTCAGTTGCAATTGAAGACAGACGAGCTAGAGGAATTAAACAAATTGTTTGCCGATCAAAATGAGGAACTGCAGCAGCTACAACAGTTTAGCTGCGCTCAAGAGTTGCAGCGCAGCACCGAAGTCGAGCAACTAAAGCAAACATTCCACGAGAGCCTCGCGGCTCAAGCTAAAGAGGCGGCAACTGTGAAAGAATTGGAACGACAGTTAGCCGAGCTTCTGTCGGAGCGTGAGAAGAACTTGCAACAGGAAAGTGCAATTCCAAAGGCAGTGAGCCAGAGTCCTGAAATCGAATCTCTTCAAATGCTAATCAACGTTTTGGAGACTGAAACAGGCCGCAAGTTTCCGAGCACAAAAAGTTGGCCTGTTTTCGCCAAACTGCTACGCAAGGAATTGCGTGCCACAAAACTACAGCGCAGAAAGTCCGAAGAGTTGCCTGCACTGCGCCGGGAACTAGCCGAGGCTCGCGGGAAACATGAGCAAGCCTTGGAGCGTATAAAGGTAATTGTGATCGAGTGTATAATGGTGAAAAGATAGTATTAAAAGTGCAAGTACATTTTGTACATTCGTTAGCTGCATTTTTAAAACATCAATATTGAAATTTTTTTTTGAATCTCTTCATAATTATGTGGATGTGTCCCTAACAGCCAAATGCAATGTTTTGTGTTGAGAATACAATTACATTTGAACTTATTTAAACTTAATTTGTAATAATTATTTATTTTTACAGGTGCTGGAACAGAGTTTAGCTGCTGAACGCACTCGCTTTGAGGCATCGGACCTGGGAAAATGCACAGCGAATGCGCCGTCGATGGAGCCAGCTCATGAGGTGGCCAATTTGATTGACGATTACAAGAAGGCAAGTGCAACTAATGCCAATTGAAATACAAATATAAAACAACAATTATCTATATAGTTAATACAACAAACCGCCAATGAGACGGGCCGCCCACGCAATAGCTTTGTAATGGAGCTGATCGAGCGCAGTCAACGCACTCAACCGAATATGTGCCAACTGACTGAAGGTATAGCCTCCTGTCAAACCGATGTTCGGCAACTTAATGAGCTGCTGGTCCAGCTGGAGCAAAGAATGAGACCACACCGAGAGACTATGCCCTCTTTGATGGAGGAGCTGCAAGCTGTCGCAGAACAATTCTAGACCCTAGAACAGTCAACACCCACCATTTGAAACCTACTTACTGCCCCCACTATCTTAAGTTGAATATGGTAACGTGCTGACCTATGTTTATGTATTGTTTTACGTACTTAATTATTTTGTTTTCTTTTTTTTTTTTGTTATGTAGCGCGAATATTGTTTTTTTTTTTAATTTATCCCCGTTTATCGCCTTTTGCGAGTGGTCTATTTATTAACAAACATATATACTATTATATAGCTGATAAATATATATTATTGTGTGTATAACCATCATTTTGGTTTAATTAGCTAATATTTTATGTTCCGCACATTTTGTGTATTGGAAATGCCATTCCGATGGAGTTCCGCTATTATGTGGATCTGTTCGTATGGCCTGCCTTTTTCTAATACGCTTTTACTAAGAAGCACTTTCTTATTTTTGCCAAAACAGGTATTGCGACGTTCATAATAATTCTTCTTCTTTTGACTTGTTACCTTCATGGTTTGGCAATATTCCGTTGTGGCGACGGGACAGAGAATTTTATCGCAACGCCAGAATGCTGCAAATGGAGAAGCCGACATTCTTCCGATCTGAAAATTTGATATTATATTAGATAAGGATATACTCACAACGGGTTCGTTGTATCAGCATGTCGTCGACCTTCGTAAAAGCCGGTGTAAGCACGGCCGTATTTTGACTAAATATGGGCCGCAGCGGCGGAAAAGTGAAACGGAACCAGGGTCGCTTAGTGGGTGATTGTGGTGGAGACATTGACTGTTTAGAAACTTCGTCCTTTATCAATTTAGGATTTGTTTTCAAGAACGTGAATGGTCTAAGTGCGATCGCAGCCGCATTATTCACAGCTTGTTGTGCAACTTCGAAAGCCAGCTGTGCAATATTTTTGCCGGATTTATCCGATTGGGTAGCCACAGGAGGGGAACAACAGCCCAGCAGGATAATCAGAGCCGCCACAACTTGGTGTAAAGCCATGTTCAATTTGAGATGATCTGCCACTGAAATGTGTCTATCTCTTGTTTAAAAAGACCGAAGCCGTTATGGCGAATTAAATGCATCCGACTTTACAGACATTTCGACAAGGTTGTTTAATATACTCTGTTATATATAGTATATATAAGCATAACTGGAATTGATTAGTAACGATCGATCTGTTCAGATTCTTCTTTCAAGATTAACTATCAATTCTATACTTATAGAAATATCAATAAATTGTCATTTACGAAATCGGTTCTGAGAGGAGTTTCTAGATCTTAAGAGGCAGGCTGTCATGTCAGACTTGGAGTAGCTGAATCCTCTTGTTTTAACGCTTGGACCAGCCACAGTAATGAAGTTGTTCGGCTTACTTACGATTCACTACAGTAATGATTCCTTAGAAACGCCATTTCGCTTAATAACTTACAAATATAAATTTCTTATCCTATTCCGGCCTGGGAATTATTGCTGAACATAATTAGAGAAAAACAGAAAAGTTACCATTTTCGGAGAATGCTTAAGAATAGCCGCGAAAGACATACCTTTATTCTTATATAGCCGTTTCTTTCAAAAATATAATTCAAACGCGATAGTGTTGTAACTTTCGAGTTTTGATCTGCTTACATAAATGTATGTACATATATATATATATATATATATATATATATATATATATATATATATATATATATATATATATATATAAGTACCATATAAAGTATCCGCTTAATCTTTGGCCAATGGATTGTTCTCGCTAAAAGAATTTCCATTCCGAAACGTAAACATAGTCAGTCGGCCGCTCAGTGACAATCGCCTATCTTCCGTGAATGTTTTCTCAATTAATGTGTTATTTTTCTCATCGAGGCACATATTAATGCGTATAGCTTTTCCTTGATTGGTATTATCGGGTCGCACCACCACTCGGCAAAGTGCAGTTGGCAAAGGACATGTAATCTTGTCGCAGTTCCAGTCATCTATGCAAAAACCAACAATTGATTATGCACTTATGTCTATCACTTTATAATCCCTATATACATATATATGTATGAATATATAGCTGATTTACCATTTGTGACTAATACAACCACATCGTTGAGTATAACATGGATCACGTGAGCGTCCTCATGACTCAACAGTAAGAGAAACACGTTGGCCAGAAATGTAAACGTCAGCATATTCTAACTGGAATGGTTCGACTGACGTCTGGACTTTAGTTAATCATAATTTACTATACTCGTATTTCGTCAGGGTTATTGTTGATTATTGTAATGTCCGTAGCTGATGCATTTCCCTACAATAGCTTTCATTTATTTTTGTACAATAGCCCCACATTTACTGAGCTGGAATACTACTTATTCTATATGTTATGCTCTATTCTATTATCTATTCTGTTCTGTATTCTATTCTCTATCTTAGTCTGTATTCAATTCTCTATTCTGTTCGCTATTCAACTCTCTATTCTACTCTCTGAAATTCAAAAATATTAAATAAGGAGAAATTAAGAAATTATTTTTAAACACACTGCTGTGATGGTTTGCGTTTTCACTATTCCCTGCTTGATTGTTGTTTGCGCTCTTACTTTTACTGCTTGTTAGTAGCTAGTCAATGCACCTGCTTGTTTTTTGGTTGGGATCTTTGCTATTCGCGATGCTAGCTGGCATTTAAGAGACGGGTTTATTTTGAAAGTACTTGTAAAATATTTTCTGCTCAAATATAGTTTTATTTATTAGTAAGGTGCCTTTAAATTTTAATTTTGAAACATAGACTCAAATACTTCAAGAAATCATTTGTATTTTGTAAAAATACTTGATTTCATGATTTATATCCTTTTTGAAGTTCCAACAACTCGCCAAATGAGCAAAGAAGAAATTGATTATATTTTTGATTATTTGATTATTTTTTTTTTTTTGGGCTGAGGAGGAAAAGTGCTTTATGCATCTCTCGCTCTGCCATCGCAGAGAGGTATGTGGGACATGCACCTCACTAAAACCCCCCTCATCAAGGGCCTATCTTCACTTCGGAAGCGCTATAAGTATTATAATAATAATAAAATGTATTGTCATAAAATTTATAATAATACCATTTATAAAAATACAACTTATAATAATACTTATAATAATAATGAGATGATGTCCTTTTGGTGTCCTTTTTCGTGTATATTTAATTTTCTATGTTTAATTTTTTCTACGTATGTACAATTTACATGAATTATAAAATTTGTAAATAAAAGAAAATATAAATGACTTAAAATAAATTTTAAATATACTTTTTATTAGTGTGATGGGTGAGGGGGGTGAAGAAAGTGGTTATAGGAAGGTCTCAAATAGACTCATAAATAAAAAAAAGCAGTTTGGCCGATGGCCAAAACGCTTGCAATTGCTAAACCCCCAAAATCTGAAGTACCAGGCGAACATAAACCAGCAGCAAGATGAATTTTATTTGAAAATTTGAAATTAAATTCGGCCGCCTAAAAGATACCACGCTTTTCTTAATGTTAGCCGATCTTCACACCTTTTAGCAGCCGGTCTTCAAACCAATTTGGCAAATTGGCTTGAGCCCCAGCTGCAAAATGGTTTAAAGCCTGGCTTAAATTATTTTAAATTTTTTTTAAAAAATTATCCTCCTGCTGCATTATGTTCGCCTAGTACGTAGAAAATATATTACTTTGCAAACTAAGTACGAGGGCAGCTGCGGCTTCCGTAAAATTGATAAAATCGCCTGCAAATGCTAAAAGCCAAAATCTGAAGTACCAGGCGAACATAAACCAGCAGCAAGATCAATTTTTTCAAAATTTAAAATTAAATTCGGCCGCCTAAAAGATGCTACACTTTTCTTCATGTTAGCCGATCTTCACACCTTTTAGCAGCCGGTCTTCAAACCAATTTGGCAATTTGGTTTGAGCCCCAGCTGCAAATGGTTTAAAGCCTGGCTAAAATTATTTTAATTTTTTTTTTTAAATCATCCTCCTGCTGCATTATGTTCGCCTAGTACGTAGCAAAGAAGCCAGTTTGCAAACTAAGACCGAGAGCAGCTGCGGCTTCCCTAAAATTGATAAAAATCGCCTGCAAATGCTAAAAGCCAAAATCTGAAGAACCAGGCGAACATAAACCAGCAGCAAGATCAATTTTTTCAAAATTTAAAATTAAATTCGACCGCCTAAAAGATGCTACACTTTTCTTAATGTTAGCCGATCTTCACACCTTTTCTCAGCCGGTCTTCAAACCAATTTGGCAAATTGGTTTGAGCCCCAGCTGCAAAATGGTTTAAGGCCTGGCTTAAATTATTTTAAATTTTTTTTAAAAAATCATCCTCCTGCTGCATTATGTTCGCCTAGTACGTAGAAAATATGTTACTTTGCAAACTAAGTACGAGGGCAGCTGCGGCTTCCCTAAAATTGATAAAATCGCCTGCAAATGCTAAAAGCCAAAATCTGAAGTACCAGGCGAACATAAACCAGCAGCAAGATGAATTTTAATTGAAAATTTAAAATTAAATTCGGCCGCCTAAAAGATACCACGCTTTTCTTAATGTTAGCCGATCTTCACACCTTTTCTCAGCCGGTCTTCAAACCAATTTGGCAAATTGGTTTGAGCCCCAGCTGCAAAATGGTTTAAGGCCTGGCTTAAATTATTTTAAATTTTTTTTAAAAAATCATCCTCCTGCTGCATTATGTTCGCCTAGTACGTAGAAAATATGTTACTTTGCAAACTAAGTACGAGGGCAGCTGCGGCTTCCCTAAAATTGATAAAATCGCCTGCAAATGCTAAAAGCCAAAATCTGAAGTACCAGGCGAACATAAACCAGCAGCAAGATCAATTTTTTCAAAATTTAAAATTAAATTCGGCCGCCTAAAAGATGCTACACTTTTCTTAATGTTAGCCGATCTTCACACCTTTTAGCAGCTGGGGCTCAAACCAATTTGGCAAAATAAATATAAGCCAAGCTTCACACCATTTTGCAGCCGGTATTTAAACCAATTAAATTATAAATTTAATTCCACCCCTATATGATATGCTACACTTATTTAACGGCAGCCGGTTCCAAACCAATTAATTATTAAACAAATAAATAGAAAAATAGGTTGCAGCGCTACAACTACATACAAATGAATGCAAATAAAAAAGGAGACTTTTTAGGACTTGCTGCTGATTTATAAGGATAAGGATCAGATCCTGCTTCCTGCAGAAAATCAATAAAAAAGAGAAAGGTTGTTATATTTTAAAAGTTGTTTTATTTTAAATTTAAAAAAAAAACTATAAAAAATTTGCCTTATGGTAAGTGACGCGGTGCTGCGTAATCAAAAAGGACCAAGGAGTATCCAAAGTTGGTGACTTCCTTAACGAGCTAGCTGCGCAGTACATAGGGCGGGTACGGACCCATGAAGATGTCTTGCCATGGCATATGAGGAGGAGTCTGAAGACGTCACATCCGGTCGACCTTGCCATTAGATATTTATGCACTTAAAATAATTAGTTAATTCCATAAGCTTATTATACCATGTACCTGTAGCGTAAAAAGGGTATATGTATTGCACCTAGTATGTAACAGCCAGAAGGAAGCATCTCCGACCCCATAAAGTATATATATTCTTATTCAGCATGCCTAGAGAAATCGATCTAGAGATGTTCATCTGTCTGTCTGACGGTTCTTGCCAAAATATTTCGTTATCGTTAATACAGATGAGCAAAAGATTTTGCAATTAGTAGCCCCCTTAATTAAACAAATTGCATTTTATGTTTTATTTTGTTTTGTATTTTGTTTTGGGATTCTGAATGTAAATAGCAATAGTTATAAACATATTTAAATTAAAACAAAATGTACAAAAATTAAATTACTATGCCTTGCTGCTGTTGCGGAAACTCAAATACGCCTGCTAGTGATACGAAAATCGGAAATTAGTTGCATATTGTCTATGTTGTGTGTGTGTGTGTGTGTGTGTGTGTGTGTGTGTGTGTGTGTGTGTGTGTGTGTGTGTGTGTGCGTATATATACGTATATATTTGTATATTTTGGGGAGCTATATTGCTCTAATGCTGTAGTATGTAGAAGTAATCGTAAATGATATGACGTGCTTGGAGTGAATGCGGTGGCCTTGGCGTTTGGTTCTGTCCTGGTTATGGTTATTTGTTCATGCAAATACAATAATGTGTGTAAATAATTCGATCGTTTCTCTAAATACTCGTCGTTATTTCCTCAATATATGTACGTATGTATGTATGTGTGTATGCACTATGCTTGTATATCTGTGTTGCATTATTAAAATCGTTGTAAATATGTTCTTTTGCTTCTGTAATAGATGATTCTTGTCAGCTTAAATGCTCGTAAATTAATTCAAAGTTGCAGTGTAAATATTTCGTTTTGTTTTCGTATTTTGCTGTATAAATAATATGTTATATATATCGCTCGTATCGCGAGCGTACAGATACTTATAGTTTTACGTTTTGTTTCTCATTTCTCATTGGGGTACGGATGCTACTTTAGATGCACTCTCTGCTAAATGTCAAAGATGTTTTCTGTTCAATTCTGTAAATTGGCTTTCACTTCAAATGTTTAACTGCTGTTTTCTCTTTAAGCCGCCTTGCACATTTTTAGAAAATGTTAAAGTACATAGAACATAAGAATATAGCGTATTTAGGCTAAATATCACCCACGATTAAATCGTTGTTTAACACTATATAAAAACTAGCTTTATAATTTATGTATAATACATACTTGTATACATAATATGCATTTATCATCATCGTCATCTTCATCGTCATCATCATCATCATCATCAATCATTCTCAATTGTTATCAATCTTTATCCTTGCGTAACTCTACAGACCTAAATGCCTACTAATATTTTACAAATCAGACAATTAACCAAAGACACAGTAGTGTGTATTTACTTGTATATCGTATCGTATGTGTATAACCTACACACTAGCATATTTTATATGTTCTATATAGATCTATCGTGTATATATATATATGTGTGTATTTATGTGTATATTGTATTAACATTTTAAGCTCGCTGAACATTTCACAATGCATTTCTGTTCACTTTAGAAGTCATACATCCCTCTGTTTCCCTCCATCTATATATCTTAAATAAATTACAAAATTGTCGAGCATTCTCCCTTTGCGTCTCACACATAGTCCGAGGGCACTGTTGTCGTGCTCGTCTCGTTGATGGCCGCCAGTCTGGGCATACGTCGCTGTGTCATTGCATCTCCAGGTCCCAGCCCGGCGGCCACAGCAGCGCCGGGCACGCCTCCAATGCCAACTCCGCCCCCACCGTGATGCTCCCAATTGGGCAGAGGCTGGGACATCACATTCAGACCCACAATCTCGTAGGCCCCCTGATTACTGCCACTGGCACCGCCCGGCATCGCTGTGACCGACAGATCCGAATAGTAAGCACTGCTGGGCGCCGAAGAAACGACCATCGGAATGTCTTGTTCGTGGGCCTGGAAATTGTATTTCTGCGAAGAAGAGAGTGCCAGTGAAAGTTATTGTAGTTGTTTTCGCATTATAAAGCTACTATTACGGATAGATACGACGGAGAATAATGGGGGAAAGAAGTTTGAAAACTATTGCGCTTTAATAGTTGAAGAAACTTCATAAATATATTTCTAAAATGAAAATATGGTTGACATTGTAGCATATTTTGTGAAAACGTGATACTTCTAGAACTCTTCTATGTTCCCAAAATATGCCTTAAATTCATAATTATCTTGCAAGATATCCACAGTACCGCTTCCGTCAATCCTTCTTCTTTACAAATAATTTATAAATGTATGTACTTGTCCAATACTTTTTTTATAGCCTGTACCCAAAGGGTGAAAGGCTATACTAGTTTTGTGCGCATGTATGTAACACACAGAAGGAGGCGTGGCAGACCCCACAAAGTATATATATTCTTGATCAGGATGAGAAGCCGAGTCGATATAGCCTTGTCCGTCCGTCCGTCTGTCCGTCTGTCTGTCCGTCTGTCCGTATGAACGCAAGGATCTCAGAAAGTATAAGAGCTAGAATAACCAAACTTGGTTTCCATATTCTCCTAAGACCGAGAAAGTACGAGTTTGAGTTTTTTTTCGATGCACCCCTCCACTCCCCCGCAATTCGTGTTTTTTCTTATAACTTCCGTAATTCTCAGAATTTTGAAATCAATTTTGGTAGGTACATCCAGTTAGTACTAATGTGTCCGTGTGCCAAATTTCATCATGATAGGTCAATTCTGAAGAAAGTTATAGCCATAAGTAAAATCGCTGCTCATGCGCTGCCTCTGTCGGCAGCGCTGCCCGCAGCTGTTGTTGTTGCTGCTTTGGTTCAACTTTGTGCTGCATACATACACGCATATAAACACGCATAGGTACGTGATGTAAATGTATGCTGTTAAAACTAAACATAAACATATATTCTAATTTAATTTAATTAATTAATTCATTAATTTTTTTTAATAATTTAATTTTTTTAAAAAAATTTTTTTTTTTAATTTTTCTTTTTTGTGGAGAGTACAGGCTATTTTACTGTCGGGCTTGCTCGACTGTAGCGTTCTATCTTGTTTAAAATAAATAATGTATTTTGCTTGTTTGTGAATATTTTACTAGTTGCTGGGGCAGATTCAGATGCCAATATTATTCATACACTGCTTCAGGATCTCTTCAATTTTATTTGACTATCTACTTTATTGTATGGTGTCGGGAATGTTGGGAAGATAAAATTATTCGCTAATTAAATGGTTTACTCTATTGAAATGTTTCTTAAAGTCAATCAGTATTATGATGATTTTCTAAATTTTTTTTCATTTTAAAATGGAAATTTTAGGTGTCGAAGCTAGACTCTATTATTATCATTTTTTCTTTTTAATGTATATAGAATTCTGCTACCAAAATGGGAGCTTAAGCTAGTTGTAAATAGAACTCTATTATAGAAACACATTTGAGTTGTTACTCTAAATTAAATGCTATTAACAATTTCTTGGGATATTTTGCTTGAAATGAAGATCAAGGACTTATATTCTCTCTTGTTTGAAAAGTTGTAGAAATTTCATGAATTAAAATTTGTATTTGCAAAAAGAAAACTTACCTCGCCACACTGACTGTAGGCGGTGTTCTGATATGAGGGATTGGCGGAGCGCACCGATTCGCGATCCAATTCCGCATAGAGGGCCTCGCTGACACCCACCGGACTATATGCATCGTCCATATGGGTATAATGATTCTCGGCCGGCGATGTGGATGGCGGACCGATCTGATCAGGTCCGGCCGATGAGCGTCGACTGCCGCCCAGCCAGGTCCACACACCGGAATTACTGGTCGGTCGGCGAATGCTGTCCGCTGAGTGCTTGATCGATATTGGCGAACGATTCTGGCCGCCATTGCGATTGTTGCGACACCACCACGGCTGCGGGCGACCACCTGTAAGCAGACCAATTGAATGAAGCGTGAATAGTTGCTTTGGTATTTGTATTTTAAAAGTAACCCCCCCCCCCCCATTCCTCCACAAAAAAAAAGGCACAAGAACCCCCAGTCCAGCTCACTTGCGTTAGCTTTAATTCTAGATCGGCGCATGTGCAACGGCTGGGCTTAGGAAATCGTTGACATTTTGGGCATAATCGCACGATAAATCAAACATTCACCTCATTGACTTTTGGGCAGCCAACAACGAGAGGCAACGGCTGCGACAATTGGGCAAACAAAACAAAACGAATCGAAACAAAACAAAACAAGGGAAACAAGCAAACAAATGCGAGTAAACAAACAAACAAACAAACAGAGCGTAAATTAAACGGCTGTCAATGGCATCGGGCCGAGGTGCCGGCGAAGTGCGCGAAAACTATTCGTTTGGCTTGTTTCCTATGAGTAATGGCCAAATGCCAAATGGCCGGAATTGTGTCTTTTAGCCACTGCAGTTGTGAGTTCGCAACAAATTGTGCAATCAAATCAATGAGAGCGGAGGATTCTTAGGCAACACTCTAAACTAGATTTGAAAGCAATTGAGAATTGCGTTTTATGTTACCTTAAAAAGTACTTCGATTTGAACATAAGCAGGATCTTTTTTTTTTTTTTTTTTTTTTTTTTTACATATATACAATTTATTAAACTAGTTTTCTACTACCAATATGGCAGCTTAAGCTAGTTGAAAGTTAGGGAATACAAAAGTTGTCTATAGTAAGCATCTATAGGACGCACTTATATCTATGTACATATATACAATATTTACAATGTTTTACATTAGAAATGAAATTATATTTTATGATATATATTATATATTTTATACAAGGGATCTTGTGGGGAGATCCTTTGGATGGCACTTCTTCAATCTTCTCTTCTTAGGTTTGGACAGGAGCCGCCTCGCTAGTGCGTTGGGGTGACTGCCGAGTCGCTTCTCGTAATTGCTTGCGTGCATTTGAATGACATCGCCAACCTTGGGGACACATAAGTCTCTTTCGATGTCCCTAGTGCGCATATACCAGGGAGCGTTGCATATTTTTCTGAGTATTTTAGCTTGCGCAACTCTTATTTTATTTAGGTTCGATGCAGCGGCAATGCCATAAATTGGTAGCGCATACTTCCATATTGGACTTAATATGGACTTGTATACTGTCACCTTACTGTGCAGAGACAGCTTGTTGCAGGGTGCAAGCAGCCATGCCATCTTTCCGGCTTTTGCCATGACCGATCGCTTGACCATTGTTGTATGCTTGCTGAAGTTGAGCCTTCTGTCCAGAATGACACCAAGATATTTGTGCGAATTTGTATGACTGAGCGTGGACCCCAACATTGTGATATCTCCGCATGACGACGGCCTTGTTGTAAATGTGACATTCGCACACTTGCTGGCGTTGATACCAATGTTCCAATTCAGAGCCCACTTCTCGAAACTACTTACATACTGCTGTAAGGCTTCCGAAGCTACATCGATATCTCTGCATCTGGTAAGCACCGCAGTGTCGTCTGCGTAAGTAGCTATTAGTGCGTCATTCTCGTCTACTCCAAGGATCTCTTGCGGTGCAGGCATATCAGCAGTAAATAATGTATACAGGGTAGGACCGAGAACACTGCCTTGGGGAACTCCTGCACAAATTGAGCGCCTCGTGGATTTCACTCCATCAACAGCAACTCTGAAGCTTCTGTCCCTTAGAAAGCTTTCGATGAGTTGAAACAATTGAGGAGTTAGTATGCCTTTCAATTTGCAGAGGAGACCATCATGCCACACTCTATCAAAAGCTTGTTTAATATCCATAAACACAGCCACTGAGTACATCTTTTGCTCCATGGCTTCCAGGGCGAAGTTGACCACACGGTGGAGCTGTTCCGGTGTTCCGTGACTTCTTCGAAATCCAAATTGCCATTTTGGAATTCTGCGCGTCACGGCTTCGAGCTGGAGAATCCGGTCCAGAATCACGCGTTCCATCATCTTCCCGAGGGCAGGTAGCAGACTAATCGGCCTATATCCATCTACTTCAGTATGCTGTTTCTCTGGCTTTGGAATCATCGTAATTAGCGCCATTTTCCAGCAGTTTGGAAAGTGCCTCAGCCTGAGTATGTTATTCATGAGCAAAACAATATACAGCAGAGCCCTTGTGGGGAGCAGTTTCAGCGTCCTGTTGTCTAAAAGGTCTTCTCCAGGCGCTTTTTTGACCTTTAGATTTTTTATCTGCTGTACCACTTCTTGCAGTGTAACTGGGCTTGCAGGCAAGGCCATTTGGAATGGCATCTCCAGCCTAAGCTCGACTACCCTTCGCCTATCTGCTGATGTAAAGTCAAAAGGCTTAAATCTTTCCTCTAGGCTGTTTGCAAAGATTTCAGCTTTCTGCTGACTGGAATAGCTCCATCCACCTGAAGGATCCTTAATTGGAGTCTTAGGGATGACCAGCCTCTTGAATCGCCTCGTAAGCTTCCAGAGCGAGTAATTAAATGATGCATCTGGACCAGCACTTTCCAATATGTCATCAATTCTGCCTTGTCTGATTTTAGCAAGCTCTTTTTGCAGTCGATTGGACAGTCTTTTGTAGATTTGATGAATGCGAGTATCTCCAGTTCTTGCATATTCTTTCCTGACTCTTCTTTTCAGGCTTAAGAGCGCAGCAGCCGTTGGTGGTAGACTAGCTTGACTATGTTGGGTTGGCAAGCGTAAAGTTTTCGGTGCAGCAGAAGACGCAGCCAGTGAAATGTTCTTCATGAGGATTGATATCGCGTCTTCGATATCCTCTGGGCTGTTAATTTCGACGTTCAGGTTAATTCTTCTTTCGAGATCGGCTTTAAAAACATCAATACGGGAGCCAGGTGGTAGAATATATTCCCTCTTGGGATTATATTGCGGTGCATGATGTAGCGTCGCTACTACTGGAAGGTGATCCGATGCGAGCTCATATTTTGTTTCAACGGTGAGTCTGTTTAGGGCAATCCTGTTGACAATAAAGAAGTCTAGTGCAGAGGGGTTAAGCCGTGTGTTGTAAGAGTAGAAAGTTGGCTCTCCAGTAGCAAGAACTTGGCAAGTAGTACTAGCTATGGCCTCTTGCAAACACCTTCCTCGCCTGCAAGATCTGGAATTACCCCACCATTGGTGTTTTGCATTAAAATCACCGCCTACAATAAACTTATCTCCTAAGGTTGCAAGCAATAGATCAAAGTCGGCCCTGCACCAAGCTTCATTGGGAGGAAGATATAGGGAGGAGACTTTGATGCTTCCACCATTCGTCGGTATAGTTACGCTGGCCGATCTTTTAAAAGCGGATAATAATAAAAATGGGAAAAATTCATTTCACATAGCAACCCTTGAGCCTTTCTGTAGCTACTTTACATTAAGCGTAACTTTTAAAAATATCAGCTTAAATATTGTATTTCAAAGGTGTTTTCTGAACGAGCCTTTTTAATAAATATTGAGCAATGCATTACTCCGAAAAGGTAAAAACTGCTGTCCAATCAGGCTAATATGGGCATTGATAAATTATAATAAATATACTTTAATATTTTACTTTTTAGGAACTCAACATTTCTGACTTCCAATGGATAAAATGTTTCAAGTACGTGTTGAATGAAATTTTAAAATCACATTTCTAGTGATTTAAATAAAATTTTAACGAATATATATACCCTTAGAATGCTATCGGGTTAGGTCTGTGAATCAGTTTGACAGAAGGATCAAAATATTTGTAAAGTAGCTTGTTTGTTTTATTTGAAAAATTACTCAGATAGATGAAACAATGCTTAAAGGAAATTATGTTCTGAAGCAAAAAAAAAAAAGCACGGAAAACCATACCCCTTTTCAATTTTCCATTGTTTAAGCACAGAGAGAACATGTGACAACAACGAAAAGTTGATTAAGTTATTCACTTTAGAGTCATGTGGACTGAAGGTATTATCATTTGGCGGACCTGAAGCTTTAATATATAGTGTACATGAAATTGAATGTGAACCCAAAATAGGTAAAAAATTTTGCATTGAACGCCCTACTTAGAACGGATTACAATAAATGTGAAAACTACAAGTATCTGTATATTTATACAAGTACATAAAATGTTATAGTATCTCTTTGAAGCTATCAAATGAAAATATTTAAATGAAATCATAAAATGCAATATTAAGCAATGCCAGATCGTTAGAGTAAGAGTATCATATTTCAAGCCAATTTGTGCTCACATTTCGACATCGTTAGCCAGTATGGATTTCATTGCAAATGCCGCCCAATTAGCAGCACCTGAAACAGCAACAGTAGCTGCGAGCGACAACGTGTCGTATGCGTAACATTATTTTAATTATACATACGCGAATGCGATAAAAATTGAATGTGACATTTTGCATAGCCAGAAACAAATACAAACACAAATACAAATACAAATACGTATACACGAACAGCAACTATCGCGCCTCTATCGCAACTATTAAGACTTCATTACACATGTCATATTTGCCATTTACTCGCACAGTCGCTGCCATCGTCGAGCGCCGACGACTTGTTTCACAAAACTGCCGGCGACGCAAAACACACATTATTCGCCAAACGCAAGTAAACTGCTTGAGACGCCAGTTAATATTTCCCTCTAGTCACAAAAAGCGCAACAAAACACTTTAAATACTCTATTCAACAGTTCGCAGCACGGGTAACATGGTTTTCTTTAAATAAAAAAGAAGCCGCGCAGAAAATCAAACAAAGCATGGAAATAAGAGTTTAGGGGCCATTCAAAAAATAAGGTAAGGCAGATGTAACAAAATATAAAAGTGAATTGGTCAGATAAAGAATAGCACATACACATACATATTTCTGCATTTACACGGTAGATTAGTTCCAGAAAAAGTCGTGTAAAAAAAGACATTGATCATAAGTTGTTTTGAATTGTGCTAAATGGAATACAATTTTTAATTTTCAAACCGTGTTAAATTAAGACCGAGTAAAAACAGAATTAGCTGTATTT